CCAGTCTGGGTGATGGAGTGAGACTCCAACTCAAAAACAAACAAACAAACAAACAAAAAACACTTAATTACAAAAGGGAACTTCCCAATATGGTCAAAAGTGACGTGAGAAACCATTCGCCAGGAAGTATCTTCTCAAAACGGGTCAGCGTGAGTCCCTGTAGGGGTGGCCCATTTTCCATGTCCAGACGTAGCCATTAAAAGGAAAACTGAAAATGAGGACATCTCAGCAGAGAGGCAAATGGGTGCACATTTTGTCAACCGTCCATTTCTCAGCCATCAAGCTTAATGTATGATGTTCACAATCACACCCCATGAGTGCCTTTCCCTTCAATTTCCCGTTTTATTGTTTTCTCCGCCCTTTCCTTTTGTTTCACCCCTTTCTTTTGTTAAGTCTTAATCTCTTGCCTAAGTGCAGTTGGAATAAAGTAACTTCAACTGCCAATGTGTGACAGGACTTATGAAAAATTTGTAAGTACCAGGAGTACATGAGAAAATGCATATGCGCTCAGATACTTCCTCATCTTCCCAGCAGGTCTCTTCAAGTTGACAGTAATAAAAAATGGGAAATAGAGACTCCAAGCGGTGGGGGGAGGGGGGAACCCCCCCAGAAATAGAACTTTAAAAAGTCAGTTGGAAAAGGCCCATTTCAAGTTCCTCTTTCCGGGGGGTTATTCACATAGGAGCAAAACAGTTTTGAACACTGATGACTGTGCTCCCTATGCGCGGCTGGCACGAAATCCTACCAACAGCAGACCGCAGGGGTCCAGGAGGACTCGCCTTAAACACCTTAAAATTCCTTCCTCAGAAGACTTTGGAGATGCAGACATCAAGGCTCTATTTTTCAGAAATCATCTTATCTACATATACATGAGATGCACACTTTTAGAAAATGTCTATACTATATTTACATACATGTGTAAAACTGAAAATACAACCAGTTATTAGCAAGCATATACATCTAACTCGCTTCAGCTAGTCACGCTGAACCCTTTGGGGAGTAGATAAGTACAGAAGGGGCTGTCTTAGGCTTCAAGAAAATATTCACAGATACTTACAATATGCAAAAGTTTTAGCACATCCACAAACCTGCAAAAAAACAGCAATGGGAAAAATGTTTTAAAAAGTCAAAGGGGTGTCCAAGTGGTCTTCTGAATTGCAAACTCGATACCTACACTTTCTCTGAGCTCGCGATCTCCTTGGCAATATGATGAACTTTCGCTTTCATTCCATCATCTTCATCCTGTGGTTCAGAGGACACGAAAAAGCATGAGCTCTGAGAGGGAGACGGAGACCAGCCCCGACAGACTCAGATACTGTCTCTCCCAGGAGCACAGTTCCACACCGCATGACAGCTCACATGGCAGCACGCAGACCTGAAGAGGGGAAACCATGGCAGGGAGGCTGAGCACCTCTCCAGTGTCCTCAGCAGCCCCAGGGCTCTGGGAGCAAGGCCACCAGCTGTCCAAGTAGAAGCCACAAACAGAAAGTCTGCAGGGGAAATGCCCCCACATGACAATGAGTCCTTTGTGTGCACACAAGTAACGTGAGACTGACAAGTGAAAACCTAACAGGAACATAAAAAGAGCACGCTGAGCAAGGCGTCTGCATGCAGACACTAAGCACCTTCTGACAGGGTTGGCTTCACAGTCCATACAACTCAGCATCACAGTGCAGACTCTGAAATTCCTTAACGTCCTTTTCCAACGTACACTCTACAGTCCAAGCAGTTTTCTTCCAAAGAGCTGAAACTACATTCTTTTATTATGGACTATTTTGCATAAAAAGTAAATGCTTGCTGGGCACAGTGGCTCACGCCTGTCATCCCAGCACTCTGGGAGGCCGAGGTGAGAGGATCACCTGAGCCCATGGTTTCGAGACCAGCCTGGGCAACTGGGTGAGACCTCATCTCTACAATAAATAAAAAAATTAGCTGGGTGGTGGTGCACACCCGTGGTTCCAGCTACTTGGAAGGCTATGGGAGAAGGATCCCCTGAGCCTGGCAGGTCAAGGCTGCAGTGGCGGTGAGCGTTCCACTAAACTCCAGCATGGGCAGCAGAGTGAGACTCCTACTCACAGAGGAGAAAATAGTTCTTAGAGTGCAACCATTCACCAATCCAGAGTGCTGAGAGTCCAGTCTCGCCAGCCCAGGGCCTCATCTTGCCATTTCCCCTGGGCTCTCGGATGCTGACGATGATGTCCCTGCTGTCGCAACAGGCAGTCACATGCCTGGGACCCGCAGGGTGGAGGAGTCTTGTTCCACTCCCCTGCACTCCCTCATCTGTGAAGGACACATGGCTGCCACTCCTCAGGCAGTCTCGGCACTGTGTGATCTCACAGACCACGCATCAGCCATGACTGTGAACGTGTGCACACACACACACACACAGATAACTGTTTTTTGAAAAAATATTTTAGCAAGTCAATGCTTTTCTGTTATAATGGGTTTCTTTATACCATCTATAGTTAGAGAGTTTAATGTGTACGAACAATAGTACATACATTTACAATTAAAAAACGCATTAAAAATGAAAAGTAGAAGTCAAAGCCACTAAGAGAACTGGAGCCCTGACTCTGCATTCTCCATTTCCAAAGAACGTGAGGTCCCTGAGTGGTCGAGAGGAACCTCAAGGTAGCTTTAAAGAAACGGGGCACACCAAGGACATGGAAACATCAGGCTAGAACCAGCTCCAATGTGCCCCGGCTCTCCACAAACGTTCCACGTCGGTGGTAATTTATTCTGGCATCCCCGTTTCCTCTCCTCGTTGATACTCTCCTGTTGTAAAGTTGCTACCTAGTAGTTTCTTTCCTCCTTCCTCTCAGGACCCTGCTCTGCCAAGGCCTATGTCAGAAAGACCTGTGAAAAGCGGGCTGCCCCGCCGCTGTAAACATAGCTATCACCAGGCAAACAGCATGCCGACGACAGCAGGTGCCAGAAATACCTCAGTTCAGAAGAAGGGGGGGGAGGGCGGGCCCTGACACTCCTCTTCTCTAAAATAAAAATGCGAAACTTCTGACTTTAAAACTCCCCAGACGTAAACAACATCTCCTGTCTCAGGTGTGCAAGTCCATAAGACATGGTGTGTGGCAGTGAATCCCAGAAGCAGCACTTTGGGTGTGTGAATGCGTATTTATTTTTTGCAAACTCAGATTATAAATTTTGGGGGGGGGATGGAGGGTACTGGCAAAAAAAAAAAGTGTAGATCGATGGGAAATAACTGAGAGTTAGGAAACAAACCTCTAGGATGGGCGTGGTAGCTCACATCTGTAATGCCAGCACTTTGGGAGGCAGAGGCAAGAGGATTGCCTGAGTCCAGCGGCTGGAGACCAGCATGGGCAACTTGGTGAGACCTGTCTCTACAATAAATCAAAAAATTAGCTGGGCCTGGTGGCACAACCTGTAGTTCCAGCTACTTGCAAGGCTGAGACAGAAGGATTGTCTGAGCCCAGCAGGTAGAGGCTGTCGTGGCTGTGAACATGCCACTGCACTCCAGCCTGGGTGACAGAGTAAAACTCCAACTCAAAAAAAAAAAAAGAAAGAAAATTAGCCAAAATTACAGTCATTTTAAAAGTAGATAGGACGGCAAAGATAAATAAAGAACAGGCCCAACACAGTGGCTCAAGCCTGTAACCCCAGCACTTTGGGAGGCTGAGGCGAGAGGACTGCCTGAGCCCGGGGATTCGAAACCAGCCTGGGCAACTGGGTGAGACCCTGTCTCTACGATAAATCAGAAAAGTAGCTGGGCATGGTAGCGTGCATCTGTAGTTCCAGCTACTTGGAAGGCTGAGGTAGAAGGATTGCCTGAGCCCTGAAGGTTGAGGCTACACTGACCATGGGCATGCCACTGTACTCCAGCCTGGGTAACAGAGTGAGACGTCAACTCAAAAAAATACAAAATAAAAAATAAAGAACAAACATGAAAGCCCTATTTCCAGATCATAAGAACAATGACTGATTCTGACCCAAGTGAAACAATGATAGAAAAACATGTCCCACCATAAACCCTCAAGAGAGTTTACCCATATTCTGTGTCTCAACCTTTCAGTTAATGAAAGCCCTCACTTAAATTTCAAAGCCTGTTAAATAATAACATCTCCCAAAAGTCCACTGCTGTGGAGGCTGAAACACAAGCCACAAACAAGTGAAATTACTTTGTCAAGGTCATAAACAAGCCAAACAAATTCCAGAACAGCACCTTTGATCTGAGATCCAGTTTTGTGTTGAGAACTCTTGATAACAGCCCAGCTTTGTACATTCTTATTTCTTCCTTAACTTCAGTTTTCTTGTTCAAAACCAGTTTTGTAAATTCTTAACTGCATATTTTTTCACCATAAGTAATGTTCAGTGAAATTTATCTATTACTCTTTAACAGAAATGTTAAAAAGTATCTTCTATCCTGTTTGAATTCCAATAAAAATAAAAAATGTGAACACCCAGACTTGCCCAAGAAGCATCTCTATCGTGAAATTACGGCCAAGATGAGCTGACACTGTGGTTAGTTTCTAAAGAACAACACTCTCTAGCTGGGCTCGGTGGCTCAGCCTGTAATCCTGCGTCTTTAGGAGGCTGAGGTGAGTGGATTGCCTGAGCCCGCGGGTTCGAGACCCGCCTGGGCAGCGAGACCTCATCTCTACAATAAATCAAGAAATCAGCCGGGCGTGGTAGCGCATGCCTGTAATTCCGGCTACTCGGAAGGCTGAGGCGGAAGGATCGCCGGAGCCCAGCAGGTCGAGGCTGCGGTGGCCGGGAGCGGCCACTGCACTCCAGTCTGGGCGACAGAGTGAGACTCCAACTCAAAAAGAACAACACTCTCTCAGTTTTTCAGTGGTTCTTCACGGATCCAGTGTCGTGCAGCCATTACCACAACTTAACTCTAGAACAGGTTCAGCAGCTGAAAAAGAAACTTGGAGCCGTGCTCGGTGGCTTAGCCTGTAATCCTGCACTTTGGGAGACTGAGGTGAGTGGACTGCCTGAGCCCGCGGGTTCGAGACCCGCCTGGGAAACTTGGTGAGACCTCATCACTACAATAAATCAAAAAATTAGCCGGGCATGGTAGCACATGCCTGTAGTTCCAGCTACTTGGAAGGTTGAGGCGGAAGGATTGCCGGAGCCCAGCAGGTCGAGGCTGTGATAGCCAGGAGCGTTCCACTGCACTCCAGTCTGGGCGACAGAGTGAGACTGCAACTCAAAAAAAAAAAAAAAAAGAAAAAGAAACTTGGTGCCCATTATCAGTTACTCGTTCTCATGGCTGAATAAGAAGTAATTTATTTATTTTAATTTTTGAGTCGGGGTCTCGCTCTGTTGCCCAGGCAATGACCACGGCTCACGGCAACCTCGAACTCCTGGGTTCAGGTGATCCTTCCACCCCAGCATCCCAAGTAGCTGGGGCTACAGGCACACACCACCACCAGCTAGTTTTTTCATTTTATTTTTTGTAGAGATGAAGTCTTACTATGTTGCCCATGCTGGTCTTGAACTCCTAGACTAAAGCAATCCACCTATCTTGGCTTCCCAAAGTGCTGGGATTACAGGCGTGAGCCACCATGCCTGGCCAGAAACATATTTACTGGTAAAGTTCCATAAAGCTTGATTTGAGATGTTTAAGATTTTGCGTGCTTATTTTCATAGACACGTAATACCTGAAAACCCATGAAGGATGCACTTTGTGTCAGGCATTGTTCTAAATGTGTATAATCATCACAACAATCTTGGAATGTAAGGATAAGCGTCTTCTCTACTCCATCCCCTTTTTACACACGGGGAAACTGAGGCAAAGAAAAACTAAGTGAGTTGTTCAAGATCACAGAGTTTGTCCGTGATGGGAACCCAAGCAATCTGGCTCCAGAAACTTTTCAACCGCCGCGAAAGCAACGGCAGGCCCCCGGCTGCAGCTGGATGGGGCAGCAGAGTCTGCAAGGAGAGCCGGACTGTTATGCTGCTGCCACTGTGGTCTCAGGGGAGGAGCCGGAGGGGTGGCTTGCTGGGGTGGTTGAGGATTCTCAAGACGGGGATCGCCAACGCCATCAGTATCAGGTAAAAGCATTAGTGTCTGTGATGAAAGGAACGATCCCATTTTTAACAAAATGTGAAGACACAACAGGGCTGCTGCAGTGCGGCACAACTGAGAGCGAAAGATCATGAAGAACCCAGGCAGGAAGAGCAAAGGTGGGGGGGGCGCCGCATAGGGCGGCAGCCAGGCCACCATCGCAGGACGCTCTGAGAAGGGCCGCCCGCTGCGAGGCTGGAGGTGAGTTCCTCCCCGTGCCGCACGGCAGCGCAGCCCTGATAGAACGCGGAATCCAATTCCACGCACCACTTCAAGAGGTACAGGGAGAAACTAGAAAAAATCAAGCCAAAGACACCACCCAGGTGGCTGGACGGCCCGAACCCAGGAGGTCGAGGCTGCGGTGAGCTCTGTTCGTAGCCTGGGTGACAGAGCGAAACCCCGATTCAAACAGCCACAAGAGAAGAAACGACTTCACCAAACGGCAGGAAGGAGCAGCTCCAGGAAGAGAATAGCCTTGGGGCTGCTCGGCCAGAGTGACCAGGCCGCACTCTGGCCCTTGGGGACACGTCACGCTCGGCTCAGCCTCTTCGCAGGCTCCGGTCCTTCCCAGGATGTAAGTCCCTGTCAAAGCCCACTCTGTCAGAGGCCTGCGCCCACACTGCTCACTCGGCTTCCAGCACATCTGGGAGGGAGGGCTGCCCCTTCGCAGCTGCACACGGACGCTCTCCCTGTCACGTGCCGTGCTCCTCTCGTACCTCAGGATGGAGCCCACGGAAGCTCGTGCCGGGAGCACCGCTGGTCTCCAGCGAACCCCAGCGGCACCTGGGACACAGGGGACAAGGACCTGCCGAATCTCCATCCAGGAAGCAGCAACGTGGAAAACGACTTCCAGATTAGAGCAAGGCAGACACCAGCAGACACAAGAGGAAGGACTGACAGGCACAGTAAAGCCCAGGCAGCGGAGGGATGCAGGGGGTCTTTAAGAGGAACTGACTCATGGCAAGGTGGGGGCTTGCCTGTCAAGTTAGCCTAGCCAAAGCAATCACCTGGGGGTCCAGCAGGGACAGACACCGTCTGTACTTTGGGGGGTACAGCAAGTGGTTTTATAACCATTCAAATTCCTATCCCATGTGTGCGTTGTGTTGATTAAGTTCACCGACTACATGGTCTCAGCTCTGCTTGGTCACCGGGGTCCCACAACACATGCCTGGGAACGCGCACAACCTTCAAAGACCAGCCTTGGCAGGAGGCTACCCACTGTGGGGGAGGGCAGGAAGATTCCGGGAATGGGGGAAACAGTCCCCACCCAGACAACACCCACAGTCTCTCAGCTGTCTCAGGAGACTCACACACTGGCCCGCCTAGGGCCTAGGTCGCTTCCAGTGCTTACTCTCAACACCATAACTTAACATTCACAGCACAGAAATGAAGTTTTGCCAGTAAACAATAAATGAATGATCACTGCCGTCTTATCATGTTTTAAGTGTTCTAAGGCTTTGCAAACATCAAATTACCTAATACACTCAAAAATTCCAACAATGTTGATTCTTTTTCTAATTTATAAAATGGTACTCTTTAGCCCAGAAAGGTTAAAAATGAGTCTCAGGTTACCCAGATCTCAGTGGAGGAGCTGGGACTTAAATTCAGACAATTGCACTTAGGGTCACTCACTTAAGGCTGAAAGTGAAGTTCAACAGAGCAAAAACAAGTTCAACAGGATGGACAATGGACTGATCAACTGTGGCTTGGGAGTGAGGCAACACGGACCTCATGGTGTGACATTCTGTGTGGATCTATCTTGCTGTCGCATTCCAACGCATCCTGGGTACTGCTGAGGATGTCTTTAAAGAAATGTTACTTAAGATGAAATGTTACTTAAAAACAAAAATTAAAAAATTAAAATGAAATGGATAAATAGGTATTTATGCAAACCACAGAGACATTATAATGAACCCCATCACACATTTAAGCGACCGTGGACATGCGGGCAGCCTCCACACGTGCTGAGCTCTAGACTACATGGACATGTGGGCAGGCTCCACGCGCTCCGAGCTGTAAGTGACCGTGGACACGTGGGCAGCCTCCATGTGTGCGGAGCTCTAGGTGACCATGGACACGTGGGCAGTATCCGCCACACAGGCTCTGCTCTTCTACCACACACACTGGACGATTTCAAAGCCAATGATGATGTCCTACCAACAGCAATCTACTCTATCCCTAAAAAGTTTTGACTGAGTCTAAAAAGCATATAATTCCTTTCCTGCAATAAAATGTCGGACAAACTGGTAGCAGTACAAGGAACAATCCCAAGGGGATTTTGGTTACCGAATGAAAGCCGGTGGACCTCAGTAAAAATTACTCCCCAACCATCACTAAATAATATGTGTGATACGTACTTAAACATGATCATATTTAGGTGCTATATTACAGCAGTGATTGAATTTAAATTTGAAAATGGCCAATAAATTTTAAGAAGTTCACCAGGCTTTCGTGCCGATCAAGCTGACAAATACTCCCCAGCACAGCAAGAGGCCATCAACACAAAGGAGGAACAGCTCAGTGCCGAAGCATACCTGTCTATCTTCCAGTGGGTCAGGCTCTCCTTGACTGGAGGTGGAGCTGGCGTCCTCCTCATCAGAGGGAAGGTCACCAAGATTGAGGTTGCGGTGGCCCTCCTGAGATGCTCCAGAACTGCTTCAACAGAAAGCATCCATTAGTTGCCTTCAACAACGAGTACTGGCAAAACACGCCCACCCAGCCCCAGACCCCTGTAACCCGAGCCAGGACGTCTCTGGACTGGAAGGATGGAAATAGCCAGACTGCGGACTTCCCCTTTCGTGAGCCTGCCTCAGCTGCCAAAGCCCAGACCCACTTCCTGAAGTCGCGATGATAAAGTGGGGGGAGAGAGCTGCCCAGCGGCACATCCCAGGCCTCCATCCGTGCCTACCCTCGAAAGTCAGACCCTTGCCGAGAGTGGGGCTGGGGTGCCACAAAGGGCCCAGCGACACAGACGCACTGGGGAGCAGCTGCTTCCCCAGCCTTAGGGTAAAGACAACAGCAGGCTGGTGAAGTAGTTCCAGCCCTTTGGGAGGCCAAGATGGAGGAGTGCTTGGGCCAGGAGTTTGAGGCTGCAGCGAGCTTTGATGGTGCCACTGTACTCTAGCCTGGGTGACAGAGTGAGACCCCGACTCAAAAGTAAAAAACTAAGGCCCAACTAATAAAGCTCTGAAGGTGGGAAGTCATGGCGATTACAACAAGGCACGTGCTGCTGCGAACACGTGCCCGCCCCTTGGCTCTGCCTACATCACAACACACAGGAAGGGACAGCAGACAGTGCCAGTTCTCAGGCTCTGCTCCAGACCTGGGGACTGAAAACACAAGGGAGCCAGGACCCAGGAACTCGCATTCTGGCAAGCCTTCCATGTGACCCCGATACAGGCCAGCCTGACCTTGCCAAGCTCCCAGTCTGCCTGAGACAGGCGTCGTGAACCTGAAAGCCGCTGCTGCCATCCAGTCCGTGGGGGACTCCACGAAACGCTCCCCAGGAAGATGATGGAAAGAACGCCCTCCAGCACAGGCTGTCAAGACTCAGGAGCAAACTTCCTGCACAAATGCTTCCCTGGGCTGCCTAGAAAAAGGAGACCACAGGAGGAGCCAGCAAGGGCCCTGCAGGCCACCAGGGAACACACTTGCAGGAGATGGCTGTGTCCCAGCCAGCAGGCCTTGCCGGTCACAGGCAGGTCGTCCGTGGCCAAGGCTGCAGTCAGAGCTCCCCAGTGGGAATCTTTTTTTTCTTGAGTCGGAGTCTTACTCCGTCGCCCAGGCTGGAGTACAGTGGCGCGCTCGCGGCCACTGCAGCCTCAATCTGCTGGGCCCTGGCGATCCTTCTGCCTCAGCCTTCAAGGTAGCCGGAACTACAGGCACACACCACCACGCCCGGCTAATTTTTTGATTTATTGTTGAGACAAGGTCTCACCAAGTTGCCCAGGCTGGTCCCGAGCCCGTGGGCTAAGCAATCCTCTCACCTCGGCCTCCCAAAGTGCCGGGATTATAGGCGTGAGCCAGTGCCCGCCTCCAGCGGGAATCTTAACAGCCACAGCTGAACTTCCACAGTTCCTGATGCCACACGGCAGGGTACGCCCTTGCCTCCGAAGCCACTCCTCGGGCCCCACTGTCACACAAGCCAGTCGGCTGGCAGCAGAGTGCCCACAGCAACACCTCCCACTGCCATAGACAGGTTTCCTAGGACACAGCCTCCGTTGGGCAGATGTGCACCTCATCACAGCTCCCTGGGACATGAAGAGACTCCCTTCCCGGGTGGAGGGCGGGAGCTGTCCAGGCAGATCCCTGGCAAGCTCACAGTCTCTGGGTGCAGGCACAGGGGCCGCCCACCGGCTGGGAGACAGCTGCTGGCATAGACTGGTGAGTAACGGAGCTCACAGGATGTGCCGATTGCAGGATCCATCCACACGGGTTGGAAAAGCATGCCTGCACTTGTGTCTGTCCCAGTTCCTTAACTTGTCCCATCTAAAACCCTGCTAGCACAACACACAGTACTTCCACGTAGCACCAGCATCACCTGGCGCCTCTCAGAAATGCAGAATCTCAGGTCCCACCTGACCTGCTGGTCAGGGCCTGGTTGCAGCAGAAGCCCAGGGATGGGTGGGAGCAGCTCTGCGCACTGGATTTTAGAGTCAGCCCCTCTGTGTACCTTTCTGGACTCCTGAGCGGAACACATTTGGGTAATTAGTGACGGGGCTGCGGCCCCTGTGAAGAATTAGGGTTATTTTGCCTAAAGAGAGAGGTGAATGATGTTTCTTGGTCATTAATACTTGGAAGGCTATTATTAAAAGGGCAGTGGTCTGGCAGTGTGGCTCAGCCTGTAATCCCAGCACTTTGGGAGACCAAGGCTGGAAAAGTGCTGAAGCCCAGGAGTTCAAGACAAGTCTGGGCAATGTAGTAAAACCTCATCGCTACAAAAAAAATAAAAAAATTAGCTGGGCATGGTGGCACACCCCTTTAGTCCTAGCGACTCAGGAGGCTAAGGCAGAAGGATCACTTGAGCCCAGGAGTTGAAGGTTGCAGTGAGCCATGATCATGCCACTGCATTCTCATTTAGGAGACAGAGACCCCAACTCAAAAAACAAGCAAACAAAGAGGATGGTATCCAGTTGTTGCCAAACCATCAGGGACAGCAAAAGGAGTGAAAGTACAAAAGTTAACACTTAAGAACAAGAATAAAAAAGCTTTAAATACTAGAGCTTTTAATTACAGGGATTAAAACCCTGCCGTGAAACAGCAGGAGACTGCAGCGTGTCTTCTGAATCCTACACAATCTCCCTGAGTACACTTGTTTTGCTCATTAAAACGCAAACTCCTAAGGACAAGGACTTATGCTTTTCAGTCAAATCTCCAGCAGACACTGACTCGCAACAGGCCCTCAAGAACTGCTCACTGCATACGTGAAAATGCTACCAGAAGGCAACAGGTATTAAGTGTCAATGGTGCAGGTGGCCTGAACCAGTGTCTATGCCAGGAATCGAGAGGAAGGGATGGATATAAGAGGAAGAAATACCATCAGGACTTCAGGTAAAAGGTGGGGAGGACGCTGGGTGTGGTGGTTTATACTTGTCATCCCTGCGCTTTGGGAGTTCTGAACCCAGGGGTTTGAGACCAGCCTGAGCAACTCGGCAGGACCTCGTCTCTACAGTAAATCGAAAAATTACCCTGGCGTGGTGGTGCGTGCCTCTAGTTCCAGTTACTTGGAAGGCTCAGGCAGAAGGATCACCTGCGCCCAGCACATCAAGGTTGGTGGCTGTGAGTGTGCCACTACACTCCAGCCTGGATGACAGTGAGACTCTGACACAAAAAAAACAAAATACACACACACCCACACACACACACACAAAGGTGGGGAGGAAAAATGCTCAGCAGACCTCAAGGTCAAGACCAGATCACAGCAGAAGGAGGGTGACATGAACTGCAACATAATATGTGGCAAGGGGCTCATTCTACAGGAAAGATGAGGGGGTGAGCAGCAAAACCCAGGACCACCATCTGTGTGTTTACTTTCAACGTCAACGTGTTCATTTCTAAAGAGATTACACCATTTCCCCATACCACCATTAGCAGTTTGTGAATGACCATTTTAGCCTCCTGAGGGTGAAACAGACCCTGACCAATGGCGGTCTAGTCTACAGCTGGGAATTCTTCTGTCTCCCCCCCAGTCCCCCCCACCCCCCCACCCCCGTCGGAAAGCCAGCATCCCAGCACTGTCTGCTCTGCCGGTGGAGGAACAAAACACACAGCACTCCCTCCACATCTTCCTGCCTGTCAGCTCACAACCGGACACGCCAAGGAAAAGGAAAGAAAGTGCAATTGAAACTACAACAAAGGCTGGGCTCTGTTCCCCAGGCCTGCCTTTCTTTATATTTTTTTATTTTTTGTGGACATAGAGTCTCATTATGTTGCCCAGGCTGGTCTCAAACTCCTGGCCTCAAGTGATCCCTCTACTTCAGCCTCCCAAAGTGCTGGGATTACAGGTGTGAGCCACCATGCCGGGATTTCCAGGCTATCTTTTCTTTTTTTTTTTTTTTTTTTGAGTTGGAGTCTCACTCTCACCCAGACTGGAGTGCAGTGGTCGCTCCCAGCCACCACAGCCTCGACCTGCTGGGCTCCGGCGATCCTTCCGCCTCAGTCTTCCAAGTAGCTGGAACACGCCTGGCTAGTTTTTTGATTTATTGTAGAGATGAGGTCTCACCAAGTTGCCCAGGCAGGTCTCGAACCCGCGGGCTCAGGCAATCCACTCACCTCAGCCTCCCAAAGGCGCAGGATTACAGGCTGAGCCACGGAGCCTGGCCTCAGGCTATCTTTTCTAAAAACAAATTTACTTCTGGAGGGAGCCTGGTTTCTAGAAAATCGGTTCGCTTTCAGTATGCTGTAATGAAGACAGAAAAAAGCAAAGGCAGGTGAATTCCTACTGATGGGTATCTGTACCTTCAATTGCTCATGCCAAGATGGATGCATGTGGAATGACGAGTATTCAATGAGTTACTTCTTTTTTCTATGTGCTACTTTCTATAGGCGAACCATACATCCTACCCTGGAAGCAGATCCAATTTTTCCTCCAGGCGAGACATCACATCAAATGTGATTTCTCTTTCAGAAGGAATTGTCTTACAAAAAGCACTTAGAGGTGGGGCGAGGGGCAGAGACTCACACCTATAATCCCAGCACTTCAGGATTGCCTGGGCTCACAGGTTTGAGACCAGCCTGGGTAACTTGGCGAGACCTGTCTCTACAATAAATCAAAAACAGCCGGGCGTGGTAGCGCGCGCCTGTAGTTCTGGCTACTTGGAAGGTAGAGGTGGAAGGATCACCAGAGCCCAGCAGGTCGATGCTGGGGTGGCCGTGAGTGTGTCACTGCACTCCAGCCTGGGTGACAGAGTGAGACTCAAATCAAAAAGAAAAAGAAAAGCACTTAATTTGTTGCCTCCAAGAGTTTTTAGGAACATATGCCTACACAATGCTGAGCCAAGCATAAGGTGCCGGGGTTCACGACCAAAACATCCTTTTGAGATTCCCCAAGGGAAGATGGCAGAGCAGGACAGGAGGGAAGCTCCCTTAAGAGCGCGTTCAGCTTCTCCTCCGCCGCTAGCAGGCCAGGCACCTCTTTTCCCCTCATCTGAGAG